AAAACTAAAAAACTAAAAACATATGGGCAATAAAATTATTTCTAAGATCTTTAGATACTAATAATCATTCTACTAAAACTATATCTCTGATAATGATATCAAAGAATGTGGAACAAAATGTGTTTTGTTTCCTTTTGCATATAGAGTAGAAACTAATATTAAAAAATCATTTTAATTTTTTGATGCATTAATGGAATTTTATCCTTGCTTAGAATATACTTAACATTGTCTTATTCTATATTCCACAGAAGTTTGTATTTTCTGCAAAATATACTATTAATTTTTAAATTATAAAATTTTATAACTTATTCTTTTTTTTTTTTTTTTTGTCGGTCGTGGGGCCTGAACTCTGGGCTTGGGCACTGTCCCTCAGCTCTTCAGCTGTAGGCTAGCGCTCTACCACTTGAGCCTCAGCCCTACTTCCAGCTTTTTCTGCTTATGTGATGATGAGGAATTGAACTGAGGGCCTCATGCATGCAAGGCAAGCACTCTACCACTGAGCCACCTTCCCAGCCCCTACAACTTATTCTTGACTTTTAATATGCAATATGTAACATTAGAATCATTACTTGGTTTAGTACAGAATATCTGACTTGTTTGTTAATGCTAATTTTAGTATTTTAGAATAAAGGAGAAGGTAGAAATGCTGTTAAATTGCATTATATCACAACACATTCAAATATAGATTACAGAAGTAACCTGTATGTTTTCTAAATGCAATTTACAATATCTCAAGGCATTAAACAACAATGCTTTCTTAGTTATTGTGTAAAATTTTATTTGAACAATCATTTTCATACATATTTAATTTTGAATTTGATTTTTTTATTCCAAAGCATCATGTCTGAAATTGGTGAAATGCCACACAATAGATATAAACAAATCCCCAAAATCCTTATGGAAGCTAAATTCCATTATACCTAATCCTGAAATACTGATAGTCATCACTTACTTCAAAACAACACATCTCTGTATATGAAAGTTTATACTTAATCCATCAGTCAATGCAATGTCTTTATATTAAATGACTACCTCAAAGTTATAGTCTCTATTTTGTAGTTAAAATGTTAGACAAAATTAAATGACTATGTCTGAGTTATATAACTGTTTTGTTGTGATGTCAGGAAGAGACTTCCAGGTTTAATCTAGTAGGCTTTCAACTCTTACATTCTGTACTTTTTAAGACAGAATTAAAAAAAATTGTAATTTACCTATTGAAAAAGAAGATTTCATATTAGCTATTAACCTACAGTGAAGGAAGTGATTTCAGTGGTATATATTAATATTCATCTAAGATAGCAAAGCAATGGCATTTACCTTAAATTTACGTCTCTGCTCTGCCCAGCTGTTGGAGAACCACAAGTCTGTCTCATGGCTGTAAATGTAACAAGAACAATAATGCGACTGATTTTCACATCTAAACTACATTTTTCATAGGCTAGAAAATTGATTATGTATTTTACAAAAGTAATGTCAAATTTACAGAATTTGGGAAGTGTGCATATGCATGCATGATTTTGTGTGTGTGTGTGTGTGTGTGTGTGTGTGTGTGTGTGTGTGTGTGTGTGTGTGTGTGTGTCAGTTTAATACTTCTAACCTGAAGGAAGGTTTCATGACATTGAAAACATTGAATATTCTCTTTGACTACCTTTTCTTGTTATGAATTACTACATCCATATCAACTCAAGGAACTGCCAGGAACTGAATTAAACAAATTAATATGAACGTTTATCTTTGCTATTACTAGGGTATGTTTTCTGGGATACATAGTAAAACTATACAGGAAAAACATATGGTAATGTTTAAGTTAACATTAGCTCTCATTTTCATTTCAATCTTTATATATAATTCATCAATATCTTATTAATCAATGTACCTACTGATTGGACCTATTCAGTTTCTGTTTAAAATAATGAATAGAATATGTAAACAAGTTCTGAATACATATATTCAGATACCTATATATGAAACTGAAATCAGTACACTACAATTGGTAGTCAAGCTTGTCAGATGTAATATTTCTTCTTTCCATTTTTCGTTATATATAGTAATATTTATGTCATCAGTAGCATAAAAATCTGAGAAGAATGTAGGCGAAAAAATACTGGTCTCATAAATTCTGGTCTGCTTGAAATAGACTCTGTATCATGCAACACTTCAAATCTGACCACCACGTTTTAATAACTAAATGAAATGTACATAAAGGTTAGGCAAGTAAATATTGTTCTTGTGACTTGAGCCATCAAAATAATTTTTAAAAATACGTATTTTCTTCCAAACTATGTAAAATAATCTTTATTAAAAGTATATTTTCAAATAAATTCACTTTGTTTCTCTAAAGATGTTATTCTTGGTATACAAAAAGTATCATTGTCTATTGACATCAAATACCTTTCTTTGCAAGTGTTGATTCTGATTTTAACTTATCCTTAGGAAATTTAAAAGATAATCTATGCCAACTATACAATAGGTTTGCTAAATCTTAGTCAAGTAGCAAAAGGATTTGATTCTGAAGAATCTTATAAGAAAACTTCTTAAATGATTTAAAATTTTAACAAAGTACTCAAGTCAAGGCGATGTACAGAGGGGTTAAAGTTACATAGGTAAGGTAGTGAGTACTCCATCTTGTTTTAAGGACAAATATAACTTACACTGTATAGTATTTGTAGATCCAGGATAAATATTAATTGCTATCCCCATCTAATCACAGTTGTAACCTAGTACAAAATGCTCTTAAGTTTCTATTAGATTTAAATATAATCTCCACATGTCTACAGTTGATAAGCTTACCAAGTCTTTTAAAATACTAAAGTGTGGTTTTATAGTATATTGATTGCAGTGTATATTTTTGTGAACAAATATGTCTTCATTATTTCCAAATTCTTACTCATAAAAATCCAACTTTTCTTTGTTACAACATTTGGGCATGAGATCCCCTTAAAAATTGAAATAGTATTAATATGCCATAGTTTTATAACCTACAGAATGGAGGTATATTCAGGATTAATATGCATTATAAAACACTAAATACAGGTGACACAAAGTATGATCAGTAACTGTAATCATTGGTTACTACTCAAAATGTTTTTAATCACTGTCTTAGTCTGAAATAACAAAATTGAGGACTTCTGCTAAGAACTAATACAATTGATACAACAATTTTTTTTATTTTAGAGCTATTAAGATGATCACGTTATACATGCAAGTATGTCTTAAGAAAAAAATATGGCTTTTAATAAAAGTTAACTCCACTGCAACAACAAACCCCAAATAGAACACAGAAGTCCAGTCATTCTTTCCAGAGATAACATAACCAGTAAAAACAAAACTTATACTGGATTTAGCTTTGGAAAGAAAAGAGGAACTAAGTGTCCTTCTATTCAGTCAAGGAAATGTGATAAAATAAAATTTGAGTAACAAACAGTATTTTTCAGACATTCAAACAGTAAATTCTTTTCTATCATTGGTTTATGTTTCCAGTTTGGAAATATTTTTTAATCACAAAAAGAAAGCAAATTCTTGTTCTGAAGCCATAGCAAGGATTGACATACCATTAGCTATCTTCGGTAACTTGTAATATATTAAATTTCCTGTAAGTACAAGCAAACTCAAGGAATCAGATAACAACAGAAATACTACACTCACTGCTGTAACATGAAGAGGTATGTGCTGCTTAGGAAAGGCTGTCACAGAAGTAGTGACTAGTTAGAGGCAAAATAAGATAGGAGGTAATGAGATCAAATGAATCTTAATTGCATGCAGATTCACTAAACTTTGATTACACTTATGGCTATGCCCTGGACTTGAAGCACTATTGACACACCTGTATTCCCTAATCCATTTCCCCAAATGACTTTGCACCCAGAAAATAAGTTCTCATCTTAAATGTGTTTAGGGACCAAAAATGTAAGTCAGTGTTTCAGTAACAAAGTGGGATGTGGATTGTTTCAATCAGTAGCATATAATTTTCCTATCATACAAGCTAAGCTTCACAAGGTCATTATGTAAGACTTAGTTACTATCATCTGTTAGTATACTAAAAACAAAAACAGCTAAGCCATTATAAAGACCTTTTTTAGGCCTTAGGGTTTGGCTTATTTTTTTTCAATTTAATTTTATTGTAAAGATTCTGCCTAAGGGAGTTACAGTTTTTAAACTTAAGATTGCATATAGATGTGTGTGTGTGTGTGTGTGTGTGTGTGTGTGTGCATGTACACACACACTTTCAAAAGAGCTAAGGGACTCTAGGAGACGTGTTTTATGTAACTCTATATTCTAACTTCTAAACATTTTTAAATGTACAATAAATTGTTTTTCACCCAAGAAAATGTTTGATCTTTTTTTGTTAAGAAAATTCTATAAAACAATGACTATATTCTGTAAAAAAAAATTACTTTAAAAAACATACAACCTATTAGTTTCAGAGGACAAATATAAGTATTAAGGACAACAACCTCTAGAATGTGTTTTTTCCCTAACTAGCAACAGCAATAACTCCTTGGCAAACCCAAACTGTTTGATGTTTTAATTTTCTTCCACCATAGAGGTTTTCTGTAACTTGTCACTTGGATAGCATTACTAAAGGTTTGTCTCAGATTGCTTTCTTTCCTTTCACACCATTTTACTGTGACTTTGTTCTTAAAGAAGAATATTCACATTTTAACCTATGTGTGAATAAAATCCCATTAAATATTCCAGAGAATTTTATACAAAATTCTTAATACCTATTCACACCAAGTGTGGCTCCTACATAATTTATGCAAGTAGTGAACTTGGAAAGTTTTAAAATCTATAATAATAGAATTTTTGGAATCTATATTAACAGATTATATATATTATATATACATATGCGTATGTATATATAATGTTAAGGTTCAATTTTCTTTTGGATTTAAAGTACCTACATAACCAAGTAGAATAGTTTTGTATATACATACAACACTATCTGTACATCTCTTATTATGAACCTGAGTTCATAAGAACAAGAGTCCTGTACTAACCTGCAGTGGTCTCTGTTTATCACTGCTTTTAGGAGATTTCAATCCACTTGTTTGCTGTTGTAGTAGAAGTTGCCTTGCTGCCTGGAGAGCCTAGAAGTAAAATAAATAAATAAACAAATAAATAAATAAGAATAATCTAAATATTTCATTTGATATTAAATTGATCATCAGTTACTGCTCAGCTAATATGTATGAGGACCCTCACTTTCTTTTACAATCCTTCTTGTTTCCCCTAATATGCAAAACAAATTCATGAAACACATGTATACAACTTTATTCAAATCATAGAGATGTGTGTAATCCTGCAGGAAATAAATTTAATTTGTTTAAAGTGCTTCAAGAAGGAAAACCATAAACTGCATCAATAACCTCATTTCCACAAGGAACTTGTCTGTGAGTGTTCAACTAAAATGCCCACTCCCTTTTAAATTATCATTCAATTTGCATTTTCATATTACAATTTCGAAGCAAAAGCAGTAAGACTTCAAGTGTTACCGGAAGCTGTAATTAAATTTGACAAATCAACATCAGATTATCTTGAAAGTGAATTAATAAGGATTTTCACTAAAGATTAAAAACACTTTTTTTGTACTTACAATTCAAGGGGAAACCTCTCCTTTGACAAAATAAAGTGCAGTTTTAATGCCAAATAAAATTGAGTGGTTTTCATTTGCATTCTTAGCAAAATCAGAGAACAAAGAAATTACCACCCAACCAATCAGGCTTGTTTCTATGTGTGACAGAATACCAATCAAAATAGAAGATGTTTTCATTTATTTTTATGTTTTCTTATCCACTTAGGAAAATGAAATTTAACATAAGAAACTAATGTAAACATGTCTTTTACTAGAGGAAAGGCAGTTTTGTGAATATACTTTATAAACTTACCTTACAAAATACAAGTGTCATAAAACAAAATGTATCTCTAATTGCTTTAAAGGTAGCAGTAGAAATTGACATAAAAATAAACTTTTTAAGAGAGTCTATTTAAAAATTCATTTTCTCTGTTAACCACTGAGCTCAATAAACAGTAGAGACAGATTTTTTCAATACATAAAACTCAAAAGATACACTGCCCTGTTTTATTATTCTCCGTTTTAGAATACAGGGTATATTTCCATAATGGTAAGAAATTAATATTCTTCTATAATAATTAAGATTTTCAGCTAATCAAAAGTACAATTTTGATAAGAATCAATGATCTGTTTTTAGGAGAGTTTTTTAGTATCCATGACAACAGTTGCTTTGACAAGATGTGCATATGGCATTACACTACCAGCTGGTGTGAACAATGTTTGAACTACTGCATTGAGATGCTGAGCAAACAGAAAAAGTTGCCACGTCTTAACCCTCAGGGAAGGCAGTCATCCCCTGATCAATTATGAAAAGACAGAGAGAGGGCTGCTACAGTCTGGCTCCAAGCAAGTTTTCTGAGAAGGCAGGCAGACATAGAAACTAAAGTAAACAAACTCAGTGCACTAACATCATCTCCTTACAACATTGATTTGTCTTCCCATAGCAGAATCTGGCACAGTTTGTAAAGCTTTTCTTTTTTTTTTCTTTTTTGTTTTTGAAGATACATTCACAATAGTTTTCCCTAAAAACAGCAACAACAAAATAACAACTTTTCAAGTCATGACAAATCACACAAAATATTCTAAGGATGGCACATACCAGTGAGCTCAAGCAATTTATTACAGAGTTGTTTGAAGAACAAAAATTCCATAATTATTTCAATATCCCCAAACTCAATGAAAACATTGACTTGATATTCTAAATAATATACATTTCTTTTTTTGGTTGAGACCTATAAAATAATCATGAATGCTAATTTTCTCATGGAAATTACTTTAGTAAAAGCAGGCCTGGGTCTACAATACAACTTAAAAAATTCAGTTAATTATTTTTCCTGAGGAAGCTAAAATCAATATAAAGTTTGACTATTTTTATGTAATTATTTTTATTTATTTTGGAGTTAATAGTTAATTTTGCCGATATGTACCTTTAGTTGTTTTGTTTTGTATTTTTATTTTTGGCCATCCATTATCTTAAAATATTCTAATGAACACAGTTTAGAACTTCGGAATCATAGATTCTGATACTCTCATTTTTTTTTAATGGGAAAAAAAAGGCTTCATTAATCAGTTCTTTGTTCAAGGTCATAAAGCAGTTTTGGGTTTTTTTTTTTCTTTTTTTTTTTGGTCCTGGAACCTGAACTCTGGGCCTGGGTGTTGTTGTCTCTCAGCTCTTCAGCTCAAGGCTAGCGCTCTACCACTTGAGCCACAGAGGTACTTCTGGCTTTTTCTGCTTATGTGGTGCTGAGGAAAAAACCCAGGGCCTCATGCATGCGAGGCAAGTACCACTGAGCCACACTGAGGGTTTTGTTCAGGGGCCCTGACTTCCAGGTCGTGATGATTCCAGGATGCCCTATGGTCTCTATTCTGTCCAAGGAGCCAATCACTAGAGCAAAATTCTAGTTGAGTAAAATTCTAGTACAGGAGTATGCATGACACAATATCTACTTACATTTTTACCAGTAAATATACCAAAGTCGTCATGTCAAAAACGAACTTTGGCGACGGGGGGGGGGGGGGGGGGGGGGGGGGGGGGGGGGGGGGGGGGGGAGGGGAGATGGGAAGGGGAAACAAAGGAGGAGGCAACAATGCTTGATAAGAAATGTACTCATTACCTTGCCCATGTAATTGTAACCCCTCTGTACGGTATTTTTACAATAAAATAAAATAAAAGATACCATGTCCATTTTTCATTTTTCAGAATTTAGGAGAAAATTGTCTTTTTATTGCTTGAATTTGTAAGAGGATATAACAATTATCACATTATACTCCTTTTATGGTTAAATATCCTCTACATCGTTAGCCTGGATTTTATTATATATTCTACCAATACATGATACAGCATCAAAATTATATAGTATTCTAAACATCTGTTTATCTGATCAGAGTTGGAAGGTTCCTTCCAACTAAGCTAGCTCTCTCATTTTATAGAGAAGAAAATGAAGAACTAATGCTATAATAGCTTCATTAATGCCCCCAAAGAACTACCAGAGGTTGGTCACAAACAGTCTCTCACACCTAGGACCACATCCATTTCAACACCCTGAGTTATGTTCCTTCAAGCAACCAATGGAATATTTGAATTATCCCTAGCCAAGAACATAGGTCCTCACTGCTGGAATAATGATACTAAAAATAATACTAATAGAATAACAGCAAGATAAATAAAGTGGCTAAAAACACACTTCTGCTTTAGATCTTGGATCTCACATGCACTAAGAATAGTTGAGGATCATCTTCCAATATAATTATTGAAAAATAATTTCCATTTGCCCCACACCAACATTTTTAGTATCAGTAGTTTGTTATTGTAAACACAAGAGGTGGGAGAACAAAAAACAACTCCAGAAGAACAGGAATGATTGAAAGCCCATAAGCATCAGTCTTTGGCAGTTTGCCTTCTGACTGCATGCGTCATAGGACATTTTTATTTCTGTGTCTTGGATAACACATTTGGACTGAATTTCAATAAACAATTGCTCAGAGATGTTTAGGTCATCTCTGTAATTTATTACTGTAACTACTCAAAAGATGAAAGATTATGAGACAAAACAATTCTATCCATATCTGGTGCTAGGTGTCAAATTACATCAAATATTAATTTGAAAATTGCTTTCCACTTCTATCAATAAATATAAAAGGTAGCCTCCAAGGCCATTCATTAAGTTTTATGAATCAATGACGTATTTATATGATCGTCTTCCCTTCCCAAAACAATGCAGAACAAAAGCCAAACGTTGTTTACAAAATTTCCTTTAATAATGATGAGGTCTAATTCAAATGGACAAGAAGAACGAGATTCTGAAGGCAGCCAAACCGTATCTAGTTTCCCAAAACACATTTGTTTTGAATTTAGGGTGCATTTTACTTAATGAAGTTGCCTAATTTTAGTAAAGCTAAAGAAAATTGGGATAGGGTATTTTCAAAATTGGAATCATATTAAATATTTCATAAGAAACAAAGAATAAAATATTTTCAAATAAATTAAAGATATATTTTTGGTAGCATCAGAAGTGTGAGACTGCATGTGTTTTATAGAACTGAGTGCATTTTCTACTTATTGTAAATGTCACTTCTAACAGTTACTTAGTAATTTTAACCAAACTAAACTTTCATTAAGTTCCAGCTTATCACATTTTCCTCATGATGAACCTTACAAGACATAATTCAATCAAATAGGCTGTTGTGAAAATTAATTTGGCATGAGAAAACATTGTAACCTGTGGGATAAAGACATTATTTTCTGGAGGAACATGGGAAAAATTGACCAGAAATAAAATTATTTGAGAATAGTTTGTAAATACCCAGTGAAACAAAACAAAGCAAAAAACAACAACAACAAAATACGCCCAAACTGTTGAGTCTGTTGAGGCTTACAGGTAACTTTTCTTTTAAGTAAACATATGTATATTTTGGGAGAAAGAGAGAGACATCACTCATATCTCGCCTATCTCTCCCCATAAAAATAGGAATGCTTAACCTATCAGCCTGTTGCATTTGAGACATTAAAATGAAAAATGACATCTACGCCCATTAATATCTTCAATGTATAAACAGCACAGCGTGACACATTCTTGAGAGCTGAAGGCTACAAAATCTCTCTGAACATAAATAACAAAGCACTCAGAAGCATATTTGATGTTGAGATTCATCTCTGAGCAAAACACTGCTGCCTAGGCTTCTTATGAAAATAGATGCGGCCCAAATGGATCCCCTGTAATTGGTTTCAGATAGCGAGGTCAGAAGAAATATGATACAAGAAGCGATTATGTGGAGCAGGCGAAACAAGAATGTTTACACAGGCACTCCCTGCTTACACTGACAAGGAGTGGATAGTCTGCAGATAACTAGAACCAAAACTAAAATAAAATAAATAAAAACTGTCAACAGGGCATCCAGAGTTTTTTTGTCAGCATCATACTCCCATGTTTTAACCTTTCACACATCATGTGTTACTTGGAAATAGGAACATAAAATAAGTTTCCAAACAGAATTTCCTTTTCTAATTATTTTCTC